CACACAATACACTAAGCACAAACAGCAGATTTTCCAAGGGCCTTTTCTGAGTAAGTTAAATCTGCGGACAAACAGAAAATACAGATAATACTTAAAAGAAAAGGAAAAGCAACCCATTTATGCATCAAAGTTAAAGTGGGTCACTCTGCAATGTAAAGCACATTTTTAGTGGATATAAATTTAGCAGCTCTCTGCAGCATTATGCATGACAGCAGTCTTGTGATATTTCAAGTACAGAACAGGTCCCTGGAGACACCATGTAATTTATAGTGGACTAATCATAATAAACTGCAGCAGGCAGAAAAGGAGCTGAGTCCAATGAAATCAGGAATGTTGGTCTGTTTGTCTTATAGGAATGTTGTGTTGAAGATCTAACTCACCTGAGATCACACAGGAACAATGGGGAGGTTGGTTTGTTGGGTGGGGAAAAAAAGCGCCAAAATGCAAGATCTCTTTGTGTTTCAGAGTAAGAACTCAGAAGAAAGCAAACACATAGAAAGGAGCACTATACACTTCTTGAGCAGAGCAATAACAAGCAACCCTTTCCTCCCAGTGCCCAGCGAGTGCCTGGTGCTGTCTGTGCTGGCAAAGCTTTACAACAAAATCCAGTGGGACCTGCAGGGCCAAGGCTCTGCCTTCCTAAGCTGTGCTGCACATTCATTGGGCCCCAGCTGCCTACAAAGGCATCTTTATTTTTGACATACCTGGTACTTCATTATTTCACAGAGTCCTTGCAGGCAGATTGAGGAGTCTGTTTGCTCTGTCCATACCCAGCAACCTGCACAGAGAAGGAGAAATGAGCAGATGAAAGGCGCTCTTTTCCAGAACTCAAGGGCATGTTTAGCATGCCCATTTAGGGCAGGGATCTACACACTTTACATTTACTGAAAGTTTTGGTTAACCCATTGCTTTTCAAGGCCTGTATTGTATTGTTACACCTAGAGAAAATGTATGGATTTGGATGCTGGACTTCATTTCATTGGCACCAGGAGCTATTACCTCCTATTGCTTTCCTGTAAGCAATCTGAAACAGGAAAAACCAGGTGATGGATGGCTGGACTGCAGTTAAAACAGGGAGACATGCCATGCCAGAGGAGCACTGGTGTTTACTTTGAAATCTTAGAGCATGAGGGGGAAAATAACCTTTGCTTTTCATCTGCCTGTCCCTTCCAATTTTTTTGTTTCTTCCTTTTGAATATTTTTGTCTGGATCTCATATAAAGGGTTTTTTCCCCCCTCTCTTTCTCTCATCCTTAATTAGTTTGAATGTCAAACCTGTTCAGTAATCGTTTTGGGTAATAAGGAAGGCAAATAAATAATACTTAACCTTTCTTAGAGAAATCTAGAGACCCTTCCAAAACCAATTAAGGCTTGTATTATTCACTGGAATTAGCCAAGGTCTTCATGCTAAATTTCCAAACTTGTGTAAGAAAGAAAATGCTAAAATTAACGGTGAGGGAGGAGGAAGAAAAAATTTGTCCTTCCTACAGTCTTAAACCCTTCTAATTTTAAAGTATGTTATGAGTGGGAGAAAAAAGAAGAAAATAAATTAGGCAATGCAGTTTGCACTTCTTTGCTGCTTGGGAGGACGGGAGGGAATTAGCTGGATTTCCCCACACTGGGGTTCTTTTTCTTCTTTCCCTTTTTCTTTCCAGTGATTTTTTTTTTCTGTCTGTTTGACACAAAGCTAGCCCTCAGATATCTTTTGAATGATGACTAACAACAACAACAATAAAAAAGCCTCAATCTTTCATAACCTAAAATGCAGAAGCACATCAAAACCAACTCAATTTGTCTGCAAAACCTGCAGATAAATCTTGCTGTCTGACATGGAGGTTTCGATCTGTTTATTATCCACGTTCCTTCTCTTGTCAATGTCTTCCCACCTGAAGAAACAATTTCCTTGCATGACACGGAAGTGGAGATATGACCCTCAGCAAAGGGACTGTACTGATCCTACCACGACTGAATCAGCTTTTGTGCCATGGGTTTATCACTGCACATCTTGCCCTTTTTGCTGCTGTCAAAGAGCATATGACAGGACTCCATCCCCTGCCACCTGCAGGACATTGCCCTCCTGGGCTTGCCTGTGATGTCTCTCCACATACCTTCAAGAGAATCAGTGCCAGAAAATTCCAAGAAAAGGTTGAAGATTAAAGCTTGACATGATCAGTCAGACTCTTCAGAAAAGATCTTTGGAAAGGTTTAACAAGGAGAACTCAAAGGTCACAGTCCAGTTTCACGGGGGCTCAGAAAGCAGCAGAGCACAGAGGTATCAAGCAAGCTGGGAACTGAGTCCGTGTGACCACCCACACCACAGATACACACACATCTCCACTCAGGGACCACTGGGAAACTAAAGAGCACCAAAACTGAAATGGGCACAGTCCCCAGGATTTGGTTTTTAAAGCATTTGTAAGGGAGCCCAAGCAGCCTCTGCTTCTTGGCTGTATCCTTTCTAAAGCAGAGTTGTTTAAAGCAGTGGTCTCAGCTGGAAGCCTGCCCTGAGCCATTGAGTGCCCAAATGAATGCAGTCTGTCAGCTCTGACAATCTGTCACAAAGGGCAAAAAATACTTTTGTTCCAGGAATAAGATGTATTCAAAAGTTTTACCCTGACATTGAAACAAACACTACTTCTCTCCCCAGAAACCTGCCTGGGCCAGTCTCAGCCAAGGCAAGCGTATCTCCTTTTGTACAAGAAATTTTCATCACCTGAATATCCAACTCCCATTTCTCACATAACCACCTTTTTTTTTAAATTTTTCACTTGCCTGGACTCATCCGAACACCATAATAAATCAGTCATTCCAAACATCCCTCAAGAATAACAAGCATTACAAATTAATAATGTCATGCTGGTCATTAATTTTGATAACCAAAGAATTTGGGTTGCTGAACATACTTGCTATGTAGCTGTAGTATTACATTCCTTTAATATGCAGCAGTTACAATGTGCTCGATGCCAGGGCCCATTATTTCACTGGTTCACAGCTGCTCAGTGTTTGACAGATGCATAATTTCATTCTTTAACATGCTGATTTTTCTTTTATTAGTTAAGAACTGTGATGTTAGATAATTTTTGCCACGTTTTGTTAATTTTAGATTATAAAGATATATTCAACAGTACAATTTCCCAATAAGAAGTTGCTATTAAGGTTTCTAATTTGCAATCAAGTAAATTGAATGAGGGAGAGGCCACGTTACACAAGTCATGAAGTGTTAAAGCTCAGAATAAAGGAAATAAATTATTCAAATACTCTATAGTACTAGTCTGATTTTTGTGCCAGTGAATTTGATAGAACACCTGTTAGGATGTGATAACATTAATCACATTCATAGATACAGACAGGTGTAATGGTAGATAGAAAATTTTGTTTTGGAAATTATATTCACCAATTAATATAAATATTTTTAGACTCCAAAATAATAAACCAGTCTAAAGTTGAAATATTTGCTTCCTAGCTTGTAACAATCTCTGAAAATAAGGGCCAACAGTAAATCACAGAGTTGTAACAAAGCAACTGTGCTATTTAAGTGTTTTTTCTGAACTTGCATCTCCTGTTCAGAAGCTTCAGAGGAAGATGTGGTATTTTAAAGAGGGAAGGCATGAAGTTGGACTTGAGCTTTCTTTAACAGTCTGGAATATTTTACCTCTCATGTGCCATGTCTCCTGACACAGCATCCTGCACCCAGCAGCTCCTCACCTCAGTGCAGTTGTGAGACTCCCAGCTCTTCTCCTCTCCAAGCTCTGCTGTCTCTGCAGAACTGCTGTTCTTCATCCCAGCAAAGTGAGACACAACAGATCCCTCATCAGAGCAGTGCTCTTGTGGAGGTGCTACAGAGAGCAGCCAGGTGCAGAACTTCAAAAGGAATTACCAACTGCTGTCTGCATTTCCAAACAAAAATGAGGATCTGACAGCTTTAGCCTTTGGCAGCCTTTTGTCTGATGGCCATTTGTCCCCTTTTCTGATGCTCCATCTGCTCCCTTGGCTGGATCAACCAAAGAATCACCTCTGGGTGTGTACAGCTAAAGCTGCCAGTAAATCCAGTTGTATCACCCATGGACCAATACCTGGGGTTTGGAAACACAACCATGGGTTCCCTTTCATTAGATCTGGGATGGCAGAGAACAAGAAAAACTGGTAGACATGAACTGTCTCTCAGCACAGCAAGCAAACAAGTGGGTAAGTCTTGAATCTATGTAGGGCTCAAGATCCTCAAAGACAGAAAGCAGCAAGAATAGACCTGTATTAGTGAACATTTTCCATTTTGGGAGCACAAGAAGAGCCCCAGTTTCTGATCCCTGTGACTGCCTGTACAAAGCACTGAGCAGAACGAGCACAGCAATGCATCCTGCTCTCACAACCACTCCCAACTGCTCTGTCCTCTGCTCTGCTCATCTGGAATGGTTTCTTACGCAACAGAACTACTCCAACAGAAAAATCTGCTAAATCCACCATCCCCAAAGGAGCAAAAATTTGGTCATCCAGGATCTCTCCTGTTTGATGGTAAGTAAAAGGAGAAAGGAATGGAACTTGGGACTTCCCTATCTGAAGTCCACATAGTCAGATTTAAGACTGTTTATACATCTATTTTTCTGTAGGAGGACATACCCTGCCACCAGGAACAGCCCCACCATCAGTGGAAGGAGGACCCCAGAACTGAGGAGCAGTGCCAGGCTCACAAAAACTGGCTCTGACCAGGCCTTACTGAACAGATTTTCAGCTGCTGCCCCTCCTCTCAGCACTGTCTTAGGGAGCAGCACCAGGATCTCCCTGGACACTGCTCATGTTCCAGACACTGCCCTGCCCCGAGTGCAGCCCAGGCACAGGAGCTCCGTGTTCCAGCTGCCCCTTCCCATGGGACACCTCCACTGAGGTGCCTCAGAGCCCATCTCCCTGCCCCCTTCTGACCCAAACTCACCGACACTCGCTTTAGAGGGAACTGTCAGATCCTGCAGCTCTGGGGAAAGATCCTGCCCAACAGAACACAACTACATATACATATTTTAGGTTTTCTTTATTTATATTTTTTAATTCAAGAATTACACACTAGCCAACATTATTATATATTTACATGCTGAAACTGGCTGCAATAATTTTAAATTCAAGAAAATATCTCTTATGTGCTACTCATTTACAATCATCATTTTACTACCTCATATATCCCAGAGGTTAGCAGTCCTTTTGAGAAAGACATGAAGATCTGATGCAATGATATCCACTAGTATTTTGCATTTTCTAGCCATTGGAAAATGTGCATTATGTGCATATAAGAAAGGCTACAAGGTCATTAGTAAGGCTGATGATTACTACATTATGAAATAAAAAGTACTAAGTAAAAAAAAGATAAATCAGAATTGTGCAAAGACAGTACTAACAGAACCATTTAAACACCCATGCAAATAAAAACGTGAAACAAGTCAAATCATAAGCAGTTTGTCAGAATTAATCATGTTTCAAATGTTCTTTTTGTCTTCAACTTAAAGTAACAGGACAGACCACAAACAATACAGCCTGGTGAGGATCTGCCAAACGACAGCAACAGTGAAAACATACAAAATGCTATCAAATTGGAATAGATGACCTCATGTCTGAAAAACATTAAAAAAATACAACCCTTAGTATGAAAGTAGAGGTGAGATTTTTAATCATTTAAGTTTCATTTTTTCTCAAAGCACTTACAAAGAAAATAATTTTATACTTATGAAATGTTAGTGTTGCATATACTTGTAGAGATGATCTATTTCAATTTTATATAATGGATATTTAAATTATTACTATTTTTACAAAGTAGAACAGGGCAGTCTTTTTGATCATCAACATTCCATTTGCTTCTTAAAAATTTAGACAAAGTTCCTAGTGCATTTTATTAAGCTTTACCTTTGGTGTTAAGCAGTGACTTATTAGATTTCCCTTTTAAACAATTTCTGGAGAGAAGATTCTTTGGCTTTGGGGGACTTTGCTATCTAACGACAGTCAAACTTTTTTTTTTTTTTAAAGAAAAATAGAAGTCTACTATTAGATACCATAAGAGATACAGATTTCAGAGACAGACAGAGCAATATGCAGCTTCTGCAATGAAATCACCACCAGCTCAGTTCTCACTTACCCTGGATCCTTCACCTCTCCATCCCTGGAGCAACACTGAGGTGCCCCATGGCAAGTGAAAACCAGGCCCTTTATTCAGTGCTGATCCCAGTTCTGAGTCCAAGCTACTTCTGCTGCCTGAACACTGTAACCATCCAAGAGAGACAACTGTGCCAGCAGGAACATTGCCACCATGGCTATTTTACACCACAGCACTTTCTGTACTATTTTATATCTGGAGTCCAAATCTGTTTATGCAAAAGGGTGTTTAAATTACTCTGCTAGAGCACTGCAATTCTTGTACTTAGTAAAAAAAAGTCACTAAACAAATACTGTATCTATCGACTGCTCATTTACAGCTTATTTAATTATTTACATAATTTAGGACACATTAACCTAAACCATAAGTAGAATTAGCTTTTTGCCTTACCATAAAGTACAAATTAGAAGTTAAAAATGTTTAAGAAATCTGATAATATTTACACACGTTCAGCTTAAGTTATGGTTGCTCACAATGGATGTTCTATGTACACATAGCAAAATGTTATGATCACTACTGATATAGTATTGTACCCTGGCCATCCCACCCTAGATTATTTTCTAGAAATAGTTACTATTTTTGCCTCTTTTTTTCTTGGTTCCCTAAGGAATTGGTTGCTTTTGAAAACTTACTAGTGGACAATGCTCTTATAAAAAGAGAGAAGAAATAGGCAAGCAATGTGAGGACTAGTCTAGTTCCAGATGCAGGAGGTACAGTACTGTCACCACCAATGGTGCAATGCTCCAGACAAACCTAAGCATTGAGCTGCTGATCTAGAAATGCCCAGTTACCCTGTAGAGTAAGTTGTTTGGTTTTTTGAAATACATGAATCTCTTTTTGTCAAAAATATATTCGTACACTGGTTGATGGTAGAAACAAAACTAGTATTAGCTTATTCCTTTAACACACCAAGATATGAAAGGGTGTGCATATATATACTCCTCTGTGTATATATACACACGTGTGTCCATACAGACAGGCAGGAATGTCCATATGCACAGACAGTTGGATAATGTTTAACATCCTTTCACTTGTGTTTACTACTGTGTTACAGAACTGCAACACAGTCTGATAATTATAGAGAAAATTAACTGAGGTTTAATTTTAATGCATATTTTTCTGAAATAAAGAGGGTATTTTCCCCAGGTGTAAGACCACCACTCATTTTCTCTATGCATTGTGCTTTTGTACCTTACAGATTTCATGTCCTTTTTGTTAGGATGTAAGAACTCTCTGAAGAACACTGTGACATGCTGTGATCTAACACTCTGTTTTCCTCCCCTGGGAATGAGAAAAGAAATGGTCACAATGTCATTGCTTGAGTCTTTCTTCCCAGTCACTGAACTGCGATAGGATAGAAACATAACATTCCTTATGCAAACACAGAAACATGTTGCATGAATTTTCAGTTCTGAAAATGTGTATCACTTACTAGCAGTCATGTACAGTATATATTTACAGATTGATCTCAAATATTTCATTAAAACTGTGCCATGTTATAGTCATAATTCACCCATGAATTTCACAAAGATGAAAAACACCTTATTTGCTGGCTATTATGTCTAATAGGACGATAAAATGTGCAACTATAATTATATTACAAGTTTTATCTAAATTATTCACTTTGATATTTTGTTTATTGAAACTAAGAACAATTAACACGATTAAAAAGATCTAGAATATTAATTTTCGGTCAATTCTAAAATAAAAACAAATTTATTCTAGTTTACCTGGAGGGGAGCACACGTAGCAAACCCCATATCTCGTATGTCGACAGAATTTCTCCCTTTCACTCAAGCACCTCGGGAGAGGAGTAAGGGCTCACCCTGGGCTCAAGTTCCCTTTTCCTTGGACAGGGCCTCACCAGCCTTCCTCACCCCCACTCTTTATATCACAGTGTTAAGCCTTGGTACAAAATGATAGAATCCTTCTCTTTTACTAATTTTTATACATCACATTAATAGCCAGAAGGACATAGGAAAAGCAAAAGTGCTCCTTCCCCCCAGATAATTTATCTTTCCTAGAGACACCTGAGCAGAAACCAAACATTTTCTTTCACTCTCTGAACAGCAACATCAGAGAGTGTTATGGCTTGTTCTGGAGCTTCAGTAAGAGAATGTGCAGTTCCAGGGGTCGATCTCTGTGGGTCTGGTAACAGCTGGAGCAAACCAGGGCAGAGAGTCAGCAATTCCCTGTAAGGTCTTGGATTTGCTGGTACCAACCCCAGGCAGGCTGGGAGCTCCCTGCAGTCACACTCTGCTTCTGGGAAGTAGAACAGCAGTCAGCAGCAATTTCAGAAGCGAAAGAAAAACCTTTACGGAGGAATACTATTATACTGCTTTTATTTAGGGTTATTAGTACCATTTTTAAAGAACAGACCTTGAAGAGAAATACTGAATTTTGCTGTGGTTCCATTTCTTAGAACTGGGAAAAAATTGCAGTGTGATTCACAGCTAGCAGTTGAAATTCCAAGTGCATCTACAAAGGTTATTGCGTCGTGCGTGAAATGCAGTCAGAGGTTAAGCGTGAACAAAGTGCCAAACCCTGACTGGCAGAGTGAATCCCATGGTGAGTCTGTCCCTAGTGCAGAGTCTGAACCTGGAGGCAGCACGTGAACGTCCACACAAGTTCCTGCCACGGAGTGGGGATGGCAAATCCCAGCTCAGGCTCAGAAACCGTCCCCTCCCATTTGAAGCAGAAATAAGCACATGAGATGCTCAAAACAAAGTCAGAAAATTGGCCTATTAGTTCCCAGAACTATTCTCTTCCTATCACTGTCATTCATTGACAATCAGGGAAAAAAAATCCTCAGAAACTTGTAAGAAAATTATTCTTTTAAAGAACAAAAAATTAAAAGAAAATATTTTATGAAAAATATTCTCAAGATATATTTCTCTCCTTAAAAAACCCTTTATTATCTAGTTTCTTTCAAAGATTTGTACAGATAAGAGGTAGTATGGATGCAAAAGATGTGCCTTTTGCTTCTTGAAACATCATGTGTTGAATAATATCAGGGGATCTGATTTAGTAAAAGCCATGAAGAATTTATACTTTTTATACAGTTCTTTTGATTCATTAAAGAAAATGAATTTTCATTAGAGTTCTTTTTTCATTAAAGAAAATGTCCCACAGTGGAATAAATTACTAAATTATTTTTGTCTACATTATTTTTTGTCTATTCTATTTCATCTGTAAAAGGTTCTATGGAATGAAAAAAACCCCAACCTTTTATTTCAAATGGTTGCCTAAAGAAAAACTGAAATTTGCCAGTTTTTCAATGGAAGTCATCCTAAACAGGAAACACTCAAGAGTGAATTAAACTCTTAAAGTCATTGCTACCAATTTCTTTCCCTTAAAACAGTGCATTAAGGAAAACTAAAAGTGAAATGGTATTGCCTAATCCAGACTGAGAAAATACCCTGTCAGTAGTTCTTGTATGGAAATACATCTGCTGGGATCTTTACTTCTGGAAGAACTACAACACCTTTAACCAACAGCAGCAGGAATAACGCTGGAAAGATGCAAACTTGGAAGAAATCACACAACTCCACACGACTATTTGAGACTAAGGTCCAACTGCCAACACTCCTTTGCACAGTGCAATACATGGATGTGTACACACACACACTTCTCTGTAATGCAGCCTTTCCTCTCCTTGCCCCCGGACTCTGTAATCGCTCTCGAGCTCTACCTGCCCTAGAGAAAGGCAGGGCACCCCTGGTTTCCTTCAGCCATCTACAGAATTACTATTTGGGCAACCAATTTTGGCACTTTCCCCAATCCAGCCCAGCAGAATATTTATCTACCCCTTCATCACTGATGCATTTTTACCCTGTTGCTACATTCCTCTATTGATCACAACTGTGGTCACTGTGAGTGTAAGTTTATGTTCTCTCTTTAAATACAAACAAAACTAGTGCTTCTCGCTTCAGCTTCTGTGCAAACACCCAACCCTAAAATTATCAGTCAAAGGTTTAATTCTTTCAATAAATAAAAGGAAATACCTGAATGTGGTTGGGAAACCTCTGACCATCATCATCTTGGAAAGATGATAGGCACTACTTGTTTTCAAGTTTACACATTTGAAAAGTAAAGTGTGTATGTTCTATAAGCGTGACAACAACTTAGTACACCCTTTGCAGTGTAGATGCATACCTCAGATATGCAGTTTCCCTGGGAATGGCATGTACTGCTGTTGAAATTCAAACTTGTTTCTCAAATGCTGCTCTATAATTTGTAGCACTAAACTGAAAAAAGGACCAAAAAAATAAAAAGGGAGTGAGGGACAATGAGACAGAAATTAGTTTCAAAATCCAATTTGCCTTCACATCAAAATGCACTTATATTTTGATAGGGGGATATGTCCATACCGCAACTTAACATATACACGGTTTAGCAGAGACAACCAAAACGTTATAAAAACAGACCATAGAGTGGGCCAGCAACTAAGGTGTTTTAAAGTAACTTTTTGTCCTGAAGAGAATTTTTCTAAGTCCCACTTTTGGCTGTACAACCGATTTGAAGAGAAATCCAGTTCTTGCTTCCTGTGTGGCTTTGTTTCTTAGTTCACATAGTAAAGCCAATAGACAATATTGAAGAAGGAAAAAACCACGGGGAAGAAGATGCGGGACCACCGATCTATGGCATTGACATCAGTCAAGTCAGGGATGGTGATTTTCAGCTGCGAGGCCCTCCTCCGTAGCCGGCTCTTCTTCTGTGCCACGTGTCTCTCCAGGGCGTTGCGGCCGAAGCTGTGCCGGGGCAGCCCGGCCTTGCGGTACTGGATGCTGGAGGTGTCGTAGGCCAGCATGGTGCTCCGGGGGTCTCCCAGCCCCATCACGGCCTCCGAGGCAGCCATCTCGTTCTTAATCTCTAGTGTGCTCAACAAAATGTTTTCGTGCGGGTCCATCTGCAAAAAACAGGAGAGCAGGGTCAGCGGAGCGGCGAGGAAGCCCCACCGATGCCAGCTGAAGCCATGCTGGGAGGGGCGAGATCTAACCCCGCTGACTACGGCTGAAGGACTTCAAGCATTCACTGCCATTTACCAGGGAACTCAAGTAGCAACAGGGCCAGTGTAGGACAGTGCAATAAAGGGCATTTCCCCAGACTCACATTTAGCGAGCACGAGCTGGAAATGAAGTACACACTCAGCTCCTGAAGGTGGGATTCTGGGAAGGGTATCTGGGCAAAAAATGGAACTTTCCAGGGGTTTTGAAGGGAAATCAAAGGGAAAAGGGTCTGCTTTGTTTCGGTTTCTCTTCCTTCAAATGAAAGCTTCTGCTCTGACATAAACTTCCAGTACTCTCGAGGTCTCTCTGTCTCTCTGAACAAGGCACAGAGCACTGCACAAGTGAATGCATTTTCCGTCCCTATATTCCAAACAGCACTGGTGTTTACCTGGGAAAAGGCACCATATCTAACTATACCTAGGTGGAAACTCTATTCCCCAGTGCTAATGCATTTGATAAATACAATGCATGCTGTGGAGACCTCAGTGCTGAAGCAGCAGAGATCTCCAATTTCAAGCAAGGAAAAAGATCTGCAGAATGTAATCACGTCAAATGTACACTGAACAATTGTTTCAATGGGTAGATTTAGGTACCATGCATTTTTTTAAAGGTGGTTCAGCAAAAAAAAATAAATTAATGCAATGTTGTAAAGAAACCCCTTAAACAATCAAGAGGATTTCAAAGATAAGGAACTAAATTCTACTCTTAGGTGATCTGGAGTAGATCTGAAGTACGGCAGGAGAAATTAAAAATAATCCATTTATAGAAAACAAATATGAAATCATTTAGGAAGTTCTAATTCTCCTTAGCCTTCCCTCTAAATATGTATTTTGAATTGTTTGATTAAAGAGTATAATTAACTAAAAATACTTTAAAAGAAATAACAGCTAATGAAAAGCTAATTAATTACACTGACTTAGTGATGGTAGTGCAGATATACTCCAGGCCAAATCAGAGACAAAATTGTCCCAGAGCTCCTTTAAGAATAGCTCAGCCACATTACTCATTTCTCGTGTACAGAATATATTCCATGGTTATTGCTCAAAGTGCACAAACTGCGACTTTTGGGGATTTCTGAACAATAATATGGAATTGGTCTATTCTGCAATATTTAGAAAGCAGCCATCAGCAGTAGGTACCTCCTGCACTACCCCAATACACTGTATTTGCCAGCATTAAATCCTCTATGGAATACTTCCCATGGCACTGGGAGAGAAGTGGGGTGAAAACAATTGCTTTTAGTAGCACTCACTGCAGTGCTCTGAACTGGGAAGTCAGATGCTCACAGAAGTGCTTGGACCTACTGAAACACTGTCATTTGAGTGATTACATCCGTTCAAGTGATGCACAAAAACTGGCATTGCTGAGATGCCATATTTCCCTCTCACTTTTTTTTTTTTCCACCCAATCTGTGTGAGTTTGCACCCCTCTAGTTTCAGTATATTTGAGTTTTAAATTAGATGTAGTGACTCAATGTGAAGTAACCAAAATCTTCCATTTTTGTTTGCTTTCCATCAAAGCCAGATGAAATCTTTGAAGTTTCTAGTGTGTTAGGGAAATCCATCTTTTTTTCAAAAGCACTGGAGAAATGGGAAAGTTGAGCTGGAACTCAAGAAAAATTAATTTAAGAACCCTGTAGCATGATACTGAGCATGGTGAGGAAACACTGTTCTAGCCAGGAAGGCCATCAAACTGGTTCTCACCTGCATCAGACAAAACAAAGGTAAAAATAGTATTCTGCCATTAAGACAAACAAAAGCATCCCTGTGAAAAAGGTTTCAAATAGATCTAGAAAACTCTGAAAGGAGCTTTCAAACATTTTCCTATAATGAGTGCAGTTATTTAAAAATTCTTATGTGACTTTTGGGGGCAATTAATTACAGGCACTTGGCATTCATTGACCCCGAGAATGTCTAAAACCGAAGGAGCTAAGTATCTTACAAGAGGGGTGCAAAGTCATTTGCAAACTACATTTTCCAGAGTTTCATGTGACATTAAGAGAAGAAGTTTCAGTTGACATCAGGGGAAGTTTGACATAATATCCACTAACGTGATGGTTTTACCCCTTAGTCCAGAGCCTGGTTATTTTCACCAAAATGTTGTGCATTCTAAAATACTATTTTTGGAAAGATTTTAGTGCCAATAAATGTGTACACATCTTAAACCTTCTTAGGATGAATCTACTTTAAGCATTTTATCCTTTTGATCTGAAGTGATATTAGAAATTTGAGTATTCTTTACACACTTGCATACATTCTATGCAACACATGCAAGGGAAGTTAATTTAGTCTGCTAGAGTTAGATACAAGCAAGTTTTAGTGACAAGGCATTCCTTCAGTTAACTTGTTTTCTTAATACAGCAAACTGCTGCATGTATCTGGTAATCCTGAAGCAGCTAGTAAGATTAGTGATGCTGGGCAGAAAAAAACATTTAGCAATATTCTAAACTATCTTCTGGGGCAAAGTGTCTTCTCCTGCAATGTATCACACTGATATCAGAGCTGAAGGACAGCATTTTTCAATATTCCAAGAATTTTTCAGAAGAAATAATGAAAAATACAGTAAATATTAGTGATGGGCGAACCTGCAAGTGTTACAATAACCAGGTAAACACCACAAAGTTCAGGTGCTTCTTGAGCATTAATTTGACTCTCCTGCACCTGAAAGAGTGAACTGACCATAGGAGCAACTGCATTTTTTACTGGTATTTTGAATTCCCAATGTAAAGGAACTCCCAAAGTTCCAATCCAGAAGTACAAATGAAGAAAGAAAGAAACAAAAAATAAAAAACACAGAATAAATTAACCCAACTCTTGAACCTTTGACAAAAGGCTCCCTGTCAGCTTAGAGAAAGCTGGAAAGGAAATTTCCACCAAGTAGGTTCGCCCAACTCTAAATAAAACATGCTCTTGTACCTAAGTGACCCCGAGACAGAATGCCAGTGGATGACAGTTCTTGCAAACAGCACCACCCGTTCAAAAGGATCCCAAAGCGCTTTACAAGCATTAGAAAGAAGAACCATTTCACTTTCCAGTGAAGCACAATCACCTCGGAGGCAAAGGGTGGTGACCGACAGTGCAGAACAACAACTATATTTTAGTCGAGGAAATGGAGAATGTTGTAGCCAATTGAAACTATGGGTGGGTGAGTGGTGGTGGGAATGTTAGGCAAGCAAAACAGTTACAGAAATTGAGATTTGGCCACATGCCTGGGGCTGAGATGACCACGCTATAAAAAAGTGCCATGGGATCTTTAATGACCAGAAACGGTCAAGACCTGAATTTTAAGTGTCTGAGGATAAAAACATTAGAAAACAATGAAAGATACCTTTGTTGAATACATTTCTGGACAATGATATGTGCCAATTATTCTTCTGTCCTGTAAGTTAATAAAATCAAGACCAGTTTCCTTAGAGATAAGGCAGCTATTATCTTTCACTTAAAATTAAAGCACTCTAGGGTAATAATAGGACAACTAATTAAAATATATAGGGACCTCTAAGCCAACAATTAGGTATATTCAGGTATATTTTGGCTTCAGAGGTGCTATTACTGCCTTGCTCTGCTCCTCAAGGTAACATAACATTGTGATGTAAATGTAATTTTTCCGACTGGTCACTTGACCAAGGAAGGTATGATGATATGAAAACAATTATTAAAATTATTCTGGGGAAAAAGTAAGTGTAAAAGTGGTTTCAAAAGGAGGTGGAAGAAGGTTAAAAAGATCTCTTGGTGTTGAAGGATTGTTCAGCCATAGAACACAGACTCTTTATGGTGAACAGGAGGGTTCAAACTGAATGGAGAAATTCCCAGGGACGAGAAAGGAAGGGAGGATGAAGATGAAAAAGCAGTAGCAAGTACTATGGAAATAAAAGGTGAAAGCAGAGGTGGAGAAGAAATGACCAGAGTTCAGCAACCGTATGAGAGGGTGAGGTTTGGATAAATCAATCTTAAAACTGGATGACAAAGTATATGGTGCAAATGATATTCGTTATAGGTCCAGGTCAAGTGGAAGAAAAGCTGACGCTGGAGCCTTGAAAGAGGCCATGACCTTTATGATGGTCTCAAACAAAGGGAATACAGAGAAAAGTGCAGAAATGTTACCATTATATATTCTTCCTGTACCTAGAAACTCCAAAATGATGGCTTTCTCGAGGAATTCCTCTTACATTTATACATTAGCAAATGCAAAATACAACAAAATTACAACTCCCACACACATACATCAGGAATGCTCCAAGGATGACCAGATCTCTGAAACAACTAACTTTCAGTAAACCAGCACATTGGTGATTATGCTCTACTGTTCTACCAAACACAACTTGACAACACTGATGAATTGCAAGGATACAATACTGACATTCTTGCTTTCTCATATACTGTTCATTTTCACCTACAGCCTTCAGTTACAGGCAGGTATTGATGGCTCCTTTTATGGTAGAATGGCTCAGAAGCTGTGGACACAACAGGCAGCTGGGATGAAACTTCCCATGGAAAAACCTTCTGAAACAAAACAGCTGTAAAGTTGTCATGGGATGTTCCACCTCACCAGCAAGGTCTGAGTCACTGACTGGGAACCACTGACCCCTGGGGGCTGCCCTGACCACATGAGGTAATGTGGGGGAGGTACATTAGTTCTGTATAAGCTGCTCTCAGGTTCACTCTGGGAGAAAAAAGAATTAATTATTTCCAAATGGCACCTGCCTAAAGCTATACAGACGTTTTTGACAAGATAAGCCAGTCTGCTGAGATAAAGCTACAGAAATTTAAAACACACAAATGCCTAATATTTAAAAATATCCGTATGTGAAACAGTGTCTTTAGAATGGAACAAACACTGCATTTCCACTGTCTCTACAAAACTGAATTTCCTGCCAGCATTGGAGTTACTGTTTATGAAACCAGGCTAGAATGCACTGGCTCAGATTGTGTTATACCCCTGATATTTGGGTCAGGCTGAACAGCATGATGTTAGAGGGCAGCAAAATTGTGATGACTTGTAATTTCAAGTTACTTTGCTTGGTGTCAGGTCAGAAAATTCAGAAAAACTCTGAAAATTAAATAAGAATTTGATTTAGGTTCTTGAACTTCTTAAAGTCTAGAAATCTAAGCAAAAAAACCCTAAGAAACCTGCAAGAGTTTAAAAATAAAGTGAGAAAAAAATGCAAGATCTGAACATGGAGTTTTAACATTGCTCTACATACTTGTAAACCAATTTCTAGACATGCAGTTTTACCTTCTGATATATGTGACTGTGATCATTTTCTTTAGTAACACATCAGTAACTTAGCTGCAAGTATTGTAGGATTATAAATGGTTGAAAACACACTTCCTTTGGCATCCATGACTTAAACACAGCATTCCATATTTGAAGAAGAACTATTCCCACATAAAAGGACAGAGGCTGAAGCATCTTTGGTTTGGTGGTATTTGAATAAAAGCCAGGAAATATGGACTTGTTCAACCTGCTGCCCAGAATCCAACGTTCTAACCCAAAAAGCCAACAAGAGAAACAGGTAAAGTCAGGACTGTTGTTGGAAATCCGGTCCAGAACAGGAAACCATGGAGCAATGGGATACTGGTGTCCTGTCCTCAGATGGAAGCATCAGCAGCTTCTCAAACACCACAGAAACATCCCTGGGGGTTCTGGAGCAGGTGGGATAAATCACCTCAGCCAACCAAGAAAGAGAAACAGGGAGTGCTGTGATTCTGGAGAAAAACATCTCCCTCCCTTTCCCTTTGGGCCGAGCTCGTTCAACCCAAACTGATCCCTAGGAAAGGGAAGGAATCAATTCTGGAGTGAGGCCTCTGTGTCAGAAGTGTCATTCCCACCCTGGCAGCAAAGAGACTGACCAGAAACAGCAAACAGATGCCTGAGCCAGCAGATGAGCTTGCAACCTTACTTAAGCAGATCCGTTAATTAAATAGGACAAACAAATATTAAGGTTAGTCATGTTTTCAACTGATTTCCTGAGATATTTGCTCTCAATCCAAACCCAGAAACAATGCAAATACACATATGGAGGAAACAATTTTCTTCTTTTTCAACCTGCAAGAACATATCACAATAATGGGTTTAAATATTAGTTAAGAATTCTAACTGGAAGGTTTTCAAATCTGAATAACTTCCATATTGATGTTATGACAGTTAAAATAAGGTTTATCAGTTGCTCCTCTAAAACAGCTTCTGTAAGACATTTAAGATGTTATTTTTCTTGTTTGAAGTCAAACAACTTTAGTTATTTGCAAAGAACTTTATAGCACATCCCTGTCGTGAGAGTGGGCGGGCTGAATGACAGTCTACCAGTGTTTCATCCACCTGACCACAATACACTCATTTGTCAACAGATTCAGGCTTGTGATTTTGGGGAAGACATATTCTTGGGCCCAGCCCAAAGAAAAATATGGCCAGAGGCAGCATGAGGTCCAGGGATAAAACTCTAGAGAGAAACTGCAACCAATTCAGCCAAAAAAATGAATTAAAAGTCCTGAGATTTTTCTATGGAAAATCACTGAGAAGGTTTTGTTATAGGAAAAAGAAAGACGAATTTCTAATGTTTTACAACAAATTCCCAAATTAAAAAAGAACCAGAAAAGTAGTTATGATCATGGTCAGTGATGATTTAGAAGCCTGGAACAGAGCCAGCTGCACAACAAGAGACGCTGCAAGGCTCATAGGACCAGTCCTGGTAATATTAACATGGAAAGTCTTCTGCTTTCAAATTATGAAAAAAGAAGTCTGAATTTGCTGACTGAATTAGAACATTTCTGTATGTTTGACTTGTACACTGATAGTCTGCTTTTCTGGAGAGTCTAACATTTTGTCACTCATTTCAAAATGAGTGACAAGAATGAAGGAACTTTGGTGCCAAGACGTGGTTAGTCATTTCAAATTTGTTTCTAAGTAAATTTCTGTGTATGCAAAATATATATCAATATTATGTATCACTGCAAATTTTGTATTATACTTGATTTTGTGTAAGCATTAATTCTAGAGAAAATAAGAATCAGATTACAGTTTTCTCCATGACATCGTGGTGGTCTTTTGTGCCTTAAACTTCAACCAAACCTGAGTTTGATTAGTTAAACATATTATATTTCTATAGCAATATATATAAATATACAGATACACCTGCATAATATGAATTGATGGATAGTCAGAGAATTTCAGAACACACTTAAATTGGAGAAAAATGACTTGGGTTTTTGGCAATAGTGTGCAGTTTGTTCTTGGCACACATAATTCTATGGAAACAAGAGAAAAGAACAGTTACCAACATGCAAATATGGCAGGTGTTTGTGTGAAACAGGATTATATTCAATGTTACCCAAGTTTCATCAGGTGCATTTCAGGAAGGGTGATCTACTTGGAACATGAAAGCTATTGATGAGTTAATATGACCAAATATAGGCTTCTTTTAAATTGAAAATGATTATATATTGCATCTGCCTCCTGGTACAAAAAGGAACAAGACATGAAAGCTGAGGAATCATCCCCCACACCAGTTCTCTCTCTTCAAACAATATCTACGTGCAACTGAGTTTTTGATCTTCTCCTCCAGCTTTATTATCATACACTTCAATAAACAGAAAACCTTCCACACTACCATTGAAACTTACATGAAGATGCTTCTCCTACCCAAAACTGCAGGAGCTTGAAAGTAAACAAGCTCAGAATTTCATCTAGTAAAACATATGCTAAAGGCCTGAACTTCTGGAGACCTTCCTTGCTAGTTACCTGCAGGAACCTTTGAATACTTACAGAATACAGGGACAGAAATGGTTCAAACAAAACATTACATGAAAATAATCATATTGATTTAGGCTGTGTGACTTTCACTGTTGCATCCTTCAGGTCAGCTCACAAGTCTTAAGCTTCTGACAACTATATTACCAGAAAGCTGGGTTTGTTTTGAGGACATGAGCAAGGACAAGCATGAAGTGGTTTTTGCACATGGCTTTAAGATGCAAGAAGTTTAGGGAGAAGTCTCAACAAGTTTTTGCACGGGGAAGAAAGTTAAACTGAAGTTTTCTCATATTTCTAGAAGAAGAACTAGAGACATAAGAATAAAAAAAAGCTTTAGATTTCCATGTTTTATTATAATTTTTATAATTACAGAGGTATTGTTAAAACTAGTTGCTAAGGAGTAAAAAAGATATACTCATATATAGGCATGGCCATTCAATTAAACCTTGACGAACTCTTTGGAGCTGATGTGTTTCAGGAAATCAATTCCCCAGATTCCCCAGCCAGACACACCTTCTGGCCGGCAGCTACAGACACTGCTTCTACTTCACTGTTCATCATTTGTCTTTTTTGTGTCTTATTTCTTCATAATTTGATACAATTACCTAAATGGCACTGATGGATTCTTTCAC